GTACCGAACATGATCATATACCACTGTCACTTTGAGCAGGAGACCTTTAAAGGTTAAAGAGAGTTTTAAGCTCCACCAAATTAAAGTGAATATAGAGGCCTTGTCCTTAAAACTTTCTATTCTGACAAATAGGTCATTGTACATATAAAGAAAACTTTAAAAGCTGAAGGGAAGAAATACAACAAAATTTTCTGCCAAATTAGGGTCAATGTATATGCTGGGATGAACTCCTAGTCATCCTTCAAAACCCCACCTGGGCATGACCTGCTGGAGGAAGTCTTCCCCAAGCCTCCTACATGGGGTTCATGGATCTCTCAGAGTATCTTCCATTCTTTGTACCATGGGCTATTGTGCATATTTCCCTCCCTTTTAACCTGTCTACCTTTTCCCTCCATTCTCCCCTTTGTAGACTAAGGTTCTGCAGTGGCCTCAAGCCTAAGACTGCAGGTGGCAGAGTGAAGCTACTGCCCACAGGGTGGCCCATGGGACAGCCAGAGCTTCTACAGGGCCTGAAACAGGGCTGGTTGGTGCTCACAGAAACCTTCAAGCTAGATATTATTTGCTCCATTTTCGAGACAAGAAAATGGAGACTGGGTGAAAACCACTTGTCTACAACAGCCCATGGCTATAAGCGGAGGAAGCAGCAACCCACCCAAGATAAACAGACTCCAAAACGCTGTCGGCTGCGCCATGCTCTGATCATGGCTCGACACTAACAATTTATGCATTTGGAGCCCTCCTATGTGCTGTGTCCACACATACTGTATTGTCTTCTATAACAACTCCACAAGTTAGGCCCATTTCACAGGCAGGAAAAAAGAGGAACTGAGAAGTGGCATAATGTGCAGGAGGATACAAAGCTTACTGATTTCTGAAACTGAACTCTAAGACCCAAAAAATAACCATTACACAGCACAGCCACCTGGGTCTCCCCTCCTGCATTAATCAGACACCAGTGGCTCTCAGATGCCTCCCAGGGAACATTGCCCCATGTTTTTATTGTCATGAGACGGGGTGTAAGGGGAAGAGATGCTACTGGCATCTTCAGGCCGGGGATGCTGTTCAACATCCTACAGTGCACGGGACAGACCCCACCACAGTTACCCGGCCAAATGTCAATAATGCTGAGTGGAGAAATCCTGGGATTACCCCGCTTGGACTACCATCAACACACCCATGCACACTCACTCTCACACACACACACACACACACACTCACACACAGAAACTGCAGCATCCAGGCCTATACTCCCATCCCCTATGGATTTTAAAAAAAGACCTACACACAAAGGGGAGGGGTGGGGAAAAACAAAGCGAGCCCCACCCACAAATGTACCACAGTCACCATTAACGTCATATTTATTGTTATTTAGCTGCTCAGGAAAACATATACAGGTATATACAATATGCATGAATACAGAAGACTGCACTTTACATATTTTTTTAAAAAAGAAAGAAAAAAATAACACTCAATTTCATGAGCTATTGTCACAGTCTTCCAACCAAGCATTTCAGAAATGAATTTCTTTTAAGAGTCAAAAAAGATTACAGGATTGCCTAACACACAGCAGAGTTAAGTTTTCATATTTTACATGTGCAATAACGTTTCATTTTCTTTCCCAAAGAGTTTGCTATGCAGTACCAATTACCAGTGTTCGGAGTCTCGTGGGCTGGGTGTGTTTTTAATTTGCTTTTATTCTTTCCATTTAACCAAATTTAATGAAATAACATCCTTTTGCTTAAGGCTATTTTTAAAGCTGTTCCATTCTGGGGTCATGGGGAGCGAGAAAGTTTTAAACTTCAGGGGTTTCCGAGGTTGCTAAGACCATGAGCTAGCTGGTGGCCAAGTGCTGATGGACTCAACGCAGGGAAAGTCAAAGACAGAAGTCAAGACACTTGGCTCCCCGGCCTTAAGCAATTAAGGAGAAATCGTTCCTGTTTTAAAAAAAATAAAATGATGAAGCTCTCAGACAGCTGTACATGGCAGAATCAGAGGGGGCGTGGGGCTTTGCTCAGACTGGCTGATTCTCCTGCAGCTGGTGGCAGGGGCGGGGGGCAGGAGGGGGGACATCTCTCCCCTTTTCTCTCCTTCGGCGGCAGAGCTCAGGAACTGAATCAGCTCACACCTCCTTCTGATCAGTTCACACCGCCTGCTCCTGCGGGCCGGGGGTCAGCCCCTGGTCAGACTGTCCAGGCCAGAACCTCACACTGTCCAGACTCTGACCTGAGCCAAAAAGGCCGGCAGAAGGAAAGAAGGAGGGGGCTATGGAAAGAGCGAGATTTTTCTGGACGCTCTTCTCCCTTGGCTGAAAAGTTCTTTGAAATAAACAATGTGGGTGTTGTATGGTGAGCCCAAAGCCTTCAGGTCACCTGCTAAAAAAAAAAAAGCCAGGTCTGCAAACTGAGGACCTGGGGGGGAAGGGGGGAGGCTCAGACTGGGGAATTTATTAAGACGTGGTCGCTAACAAAAACAAATAAAATATGGGTCGCCGATTTGGGTGAAGTGATATCCACCACTTCCTGTCTGACCCACCCTGGAGTCTCAGTGCCCCCCATCCCCCCATAAATCATTCAAGCCCTTCGTAGGCATCAACAGCACCCAAAGGTGCCCGCTCCTGTCAACCGTGAGCCTCTGGTAACCACCGCTCTGGGAGGACCAGGTAACATGCCTCACTGGGTCCAGGAGCCCTGCTCACCCAGCCGCCCCTCATCACTTCTCAAAGGAGAAGTCATTTCTTCATGAGACACATGGGATGTGGCTCTAATTTTGCAATAGAGTGAGATTAAATCAAAAGGGAGGGGGGGGAATTGCAGGGTTCAAAAAACAAGGCCCAGGTATCAAAGTCATGAGCTATGTTCCCTTTCTCCCCGCTCTGGCCCTCAGCGGTCTGCAAAACCCGGCCAAGAGCTATTCCCAGGCTTGGAGAGGGGGGTTCAGCCAGCTGAGCCTGGGGCTCCCTCATCCCTTCCAGGGCGGGGGGTTGCCCAGGTTGGGGGTGATAAAATAGATGGGAGCAGGGACCGACTGGGAAAGGTGGGGGAGATCCACCAAGTCCCCCCTCCTTCCCTAGGGATGCAGGGCTAGGAACAGCTTGTCAGGAAAGATCAAGGGTTAAGAACTGATGCGCTCCCGACTCCAGCACCCAAGACCCAGCAGCCTGGCTGCAGCAGAGCTGGAGTCTGGAGCCCCCAGCCCCACGGACTCTGCAAACTGGAAGGCCACCATCCCCCACGCAGGCCGGGGCTGCTCAGCATAGCGTGAAAATTCAGAGCCCCGGCATTTGAGGAGAGGCCCAGCAAAGGAGAGAAAACACCACTGTCAAATTCTCTGACTCCTTCCCACAGTCATCACCTCGATCGCAGAGAGGGGCAGTTTCCAGCGGCAGAGAGAAGGGAGCTGGAGGCTGTGCGTGTGTTTGTCAGAAAGAAAATCTCTCTCTCTCTCTCTCTCTCTATTTTCTTAGGCAACAGACAAAACAAAATCCCCAGTGGAATACCTAAGGGGGGCATTCATTGTTTGGCTCCTGCCTGCCTGATGACAGTTGGATGTCAATATATAATATTGTGATGACAATTTGACTTTCACCCGGCAATATTCCAGAACTACTCTGCTCCAGGATTTCCATTTTAATAAGCAGTGAACAAAGCAAAAAGCAAAAAGAAAAAAAGGGGAAGAAAAAAAAAAAAGCGAAAAAAACGGCGGGGGTGGGGAGAGGAGCAAGACTAAAAGAGATTAAAAAAGGAAAGCAACTCTTGTCTGATTATGAAGTAACGATACTTGGACATACAGCAGCGTGGAAATAAAACAAAGAGAGAGGTCATCTAAAAAACGTATGCCAAGATGACAGAAAAACGGGAATTATCTAGCAGGGAAAGGCTTAAGCAAAAGTTTGCTAACTGCAGCAGGGTTAACACTGGTAACATACTGTGGCAGACAGAGTTTCTCTTTTAAAAAAATTTTTTGAGGTTTTTTTTTTTTTTTCCCTTTAAATTAACCCTTTCCGGTCCATATGCCACTAAGCAGGTACCAATCTAGAAAATAATTCATCCACTCAGCAATAGTGGCCCTTTCAAATTATCAAGAGGGGTGGGGGTCA